GGACACGGCAGGTGTGGGAGGCGGCGGCGGCGGCGTTTTCAGGATGTGATTAATGGCTGAGAAATGGCACCGGGGTCCCCGTCGGGTGGGCTCTGTGCTTAATTGATCCCACTTCTCTCTCTGGCTGCGGGACGCGTCTTCTAATGAGCTACCTGCCTGCCTGGCTTATGCGGGGGCACGCACTTCACTTCCCGCTAATTGGGAAGGATGGTGGAGGCGGAGGCCGCCAGGGGCACAGGAGGGAGATGGGGTTGGGGGCGCCCATGGAGGCCGGGCCTCCCGGGAGCTGTGCTGAGAGGAAGGAGGGACGGGTCTCGCAGGCCTCCAGCCTCGCATCCGCTTCCCGCGTCACACCTGGGGCAGGCGCGCAGCTGTCCTGCAGCCAACACTTCCCGTCTTCTAGGAGGTGACCGCATCCTGTGACCAGACTTCCCCGGACCATGCTGGTCCCAGGCGGGCTTGTGCCCAGGATGAAATAAATTGTGATGGGGTCTGGATTAACGGCATCATGAGGGCACTGCCCACTTCCACACGGGACAGGAGCGCCAGCAGAGGCGGGCGGGCACGTGGGGGTGGGCAGGGTCTGGCTGCCTAACGTCCAAGATGACCCTCCGCTCTGTCATGGCCCGAATAAGGGCACGGTTCACACTAAGAAAAAAGATGTCAAAACCAGATACGGTGTTTCCTCCCTCGTAGAGAGTTCCATCGCGGACCTGTATGCTACGCAACGCTGTGGTAAGTCGCTTGGCGTCTTTCTCGTACGTGAGGCTGATGGTCCAGCCTAAACATCCGAGTGACGATGTCTTCGCTGACTTCATCTGTGTTCACCTTCATTTACACAAGAGCCACGTCCCTGCCATGAACAGACTGGCTCTGGCGCCACCATACCTCCCCCAGGAGAGCGGGGCTGCGGGAGCCGGAGCCAGAGCTCGGCCGGCCACCAGCCTCACAGGGAGGCTCCCCTTTGGGTCTGAAAGGCTGGGGAGGTTGAAAGCAAACAGAATGTGACCTGACTGGGCACAGGCACCGAGCCGCTCTGTGAAGTAGCTCATCCCAGCGCAGCTCCCAGCGGAGGCTGCACCCCCACAGCTGACTTCCGCGCCGGGAAACACTCAGGAACGAAGCAATGACTGACACGGAACCAAATGGCACAGACAAAACTGTGAGGAGAGAGAGGCGTGGGTGGACGGAGTCCCCTAGACAGCTCGTAGGGTCCAGAGACAACTGCCCACACCACACACACACACTATGCCCACACTATACACACACCATACGCTACACACACTACACACACCACACATACACACACACTACACAAACACACACCACACACACCACACACTACACACACAAACATATACACACACACACCCACACTACACCACACTACACATACACACACACTACACATACACACACACACACCACACAAACACATGCACACACACTACACACACTACACATCCACACACACTACACATACACACACACTACACATGCACACACACCACACATACACATACACACACCACACTACTTACACACACACTACACACACACACACACTACACCACACTACACATACACACACACTACACCCACACACACCACACAAACATATGCACACACACTACACATACACACACACTACACCCACACACACCACACAAACATATACACACACACACCACACACACACTACACCACACTACACATACACACACACTACACCCACACACACCACACAAACACATGCATACACACTACACACACTACACATACACACACCACACTATACTTACACACACACTACACACACACACACACTACACCACACTACACATACACACACACTACACCCACACACACACATCACACGATACACACACTACACATACACACACACACCACACACACAGTCAGCAGGCAATTCCACAGCCACCGAGAGCCGAGGTGGCGAAGCAGTTGCCGCAGATTGTTCCCGGACCCAGCGGGGCTCGGGCGCTGCGGGGAGCAGGCAAGGCGAGCCTGGACCCGCGGGAGGAGTGCGCTGAACAACTTGTCACTCTCGCCCCAGGGACCCGAGACCCCTCTCCCACCTCCAGCTTGTAACTGCACCTTTCAAGCCTGTTTTCATTCAAAACAGCTCATCCCTTCAACCGATGCTCAAGGACACACCTACGTCCTCTTGTGACCTCACTGAGCAGGACTTCACATCCTTCACACCTTACATGTGTCCACCCGACAAAAACCAATGGGCTCCCGGAGGGTGACGGGTGATGACTGCATCGTGGGACACAGTCCGCCGGTTGCATTTAGGAGTTTGGACGGGCAAAGGGCCATGTCTCGCCCCCACCAGACAAAAGAACCGCGAGCATAAAACAGACGTGAACTGCTTACGTGGATAGTTCTGCTCACAGGACACGGGGCCAGGAGGCCCGGGCCCCACGGGAGGAGCGCAGGGCAGGGCAGGGGACGCACCTTCCCTCTTAGACCTGGAAGGCGGCCTTAGCCTTTAGACGGTAGCTCCCATGGTAGAGTGTGGTCATGTACTCACTTATTCATCACATTGTAATGATGCTGTGCAGTATTTCTCTACTGGAAGCTGTTTTTTTTTTCTTCTTTTGCATAATTTCCAGTAAGCAAGTTTTCAGGAATTAATTAGGTTTCTGGTCAAAGGGTGGGTACATTTTTTGTCTTCTTGCCTGAACCGAAACATGAATCATTTTGTAATCTTTGTAACGACACGGGCGGCGGGCATTCTTCATAGCTTCCCGGAGCAGCTGAATCATTTCAATGTTCGAAAGGTGTGAGCTGGCGGCTCCTGAGCGCGGACACGGACACGTGTGGTTGAACGTTTCTCGAGGAGTTACTCATTTTTCTTCTGTTGACTGCGCGTGCACGCACCTAGACCAGTGGTTTTCTATGTTCTAGATATGGAAGCATATCCATACATATTTATTTAACCTCCAAAATGTACTCCTTTCTTCTTTGCTTGCTTTAACGTCAAGGATTCCAGTACACAATTACAGGACGTCGTCTCAAATGATACCTTTGGTTTCTGGATTTATCCTGTTTTCCTATTAATTATTATGGAGCTATTTGGAATAGAGTAGATTTCTTTGTTAAGCTTTGAAGGTATCTCTCAAATCTTTTTATTAGAAACTAGAGGCCAGATGCATGAAATTTGTGCAAGGGGCTCAGCCTTCACAGCCCCGTATGTTACAGTAACACTGAAAACTTACAGTAACCTTTAAAATTTTCCAAATGGTTGGAGCTTTGTGCTTGAGTTTAGCTTCTATTTTCCTTACTTAGGCCTCTCCCCATGGCCTTGCGCTCAGAAACAAGGTATAGGAACGCCGAGGCGTGTGGCCTCAGTGAGGCTGATCTGTGGGGGAGGCACGTCTGCTCAGGGTGAAGCTGGACTTCTGGGTCCCGATCTCAACCCAATGGGTAAGGAAATGGAGGTCAAAGAGGAAAACGAACCTGCCCAGTCACAGCCGGTGCCTGACCTGGGACGCGGGGCGGGACCCTGTGCCCATCTAAGTGACCCGGGCTCTCCGAGGAGGGGTCGTTAGCCACAGCGCCAGCTCCTCCCGCTCAGTTCCGTCCTCACAGATGTGTGAGCATCCACAACGTTAGCCCAGACCCCCCGGGAACAGAGGCGGTCCCCAAGTTGCCGCCCCGGAGGCCGCGAGTCCTTACCTTCAAACGCCCGAGCAGCGTCCACGAGGTGGGACCAGTCCAGCCCCGTGCCCGCGTCCGGGAGGGGCATCAGGCCGGGGTCTGCGCACTTGGACTTATCCGACAGGGACCCGTCGGAGAACCAGAACTCGTCTAAACGAAACAAACCCAGAGTCAGGCAGATCGCAGCTCGGGGCATGCCCGCCCCGTCGAGGGGCCGAGGCAACTTCTTGTCAAAGATCTCCCGCCCTCCCCAAAGACACAGCTGGGCAATCAGGGGCCTGCAGAAATGTCCGACCTCCAGACTCGCTCAGAGGTCAGCAGCAGAGACCTGGTGCAGGGGCCTGCACTGAGCCTCGCACAGACGAGCACCTCAGGGAGCTTTCTCCCGGGGCAGGCTTCGCTGGGTGCCTCCCCCGAGCTCACCAGGACCAGCGCCTGCTTTCGTCTCTCTAACCGGGGAGTTTAAAAGCGTCTTGGAGTCGCCTAAGCTGATCACCACAAATCTATCCATCTGGGGTGCAGCCACTTTGAAAGGCAGGGAGACGCACTGCGTGTCCCTTAGCAACAGGCGAGGAGGAGAAGGGACAGCATTCTGCCTGCAGGGCAGGTCCCGGGTCGGTCTCCCTTTGTCTGCACGAACTGGCCTTTGACGTTTAAACTTCTTCTGAAACTCTCACCGCAGGACTGGGTGGCACTGACGGAGGCCGGGGGCCAGGTGCCCGTGGTCAGGGAGGGAAGGGCACCCTGTCCTTTTGGTGTCACTGGTTACTGGCCCGGGAACCGTGCGCCCGAACGGCCACTGAAGAGGTTTTATCCTGAAACCCCCCAGCAACGTAAGCCGAGACCCTGCACGCCGGGCGGAACCACCTGCCTGCCCGGCTTTGCTTTCACGTCTCCAACCTGATGCACCCGCCTCAGTGACTTCGCAGGAAACGCACACGAGTCCTGGCATGAATCGCCCGGAACCCGCTGGCGAGGTATCTGTCTCTGAGGTTAGATTAGGATCTTGATCTCCGGAGAGCAAAGATCCTGAACAGGTTCAAGGCTGGAGCATCGAAAAGCTAAAAATACCTGCCCCGGAGGCCGGGGCTGTAACAGCTCCACCTGGAGGTGCGGGGGGAGGCCTTCCGATCGCACTGGGGGAGACGGGCTTGCTCCCCTGTAATCTGCACTCTCCTAACTCCAAACCGGGGACCAGACCCGGATGAGTCCCCACTAGTGAAAGGTTCTCTCTGAAGATCAGACGCTGCCTGGGAAGGCACACGTTTTAAAGTGGAAAAGGCCCGGCTGGTGTGGCTCAGTGATTGAGCGTCAACCTATGAACCAGGAGGTCAGGGTTCGATTCCCGGTCAGGGCACATGCCCGGGTTGCGGCTCCATCCCCAGCAGGGGGCGTGCAGGGCATATAGCTGGGTTGTGGGTTGGATTCCCATTTGGGGCACGTACAGGAGGCAACTGCAACTGATCGATGTTTCTCTCTCTCTCTCTCTCTCTCTCTCTAACATATCTTTGAGTGAGGATTTAAAAAACAGGTTTAATACAGGTTTTCAAGTTTTCTTCAAAATGGATAGACCTGTATTGCTTAACTTTTTTACAGTGTCCACTCTGGGGATTTTATCATATTATAAGGAAGCAAACACACCAGCAAATGCTACAGAATTTAAGAAGTGACCTCCTCACAACCTCACGAGGAGATCATCCGAGGGCCCGTCGAGGCCCCGGGTCCGAGCCCCCCAGCCTCCCCACTCACTGTGCCAGCTGCCCAG